AAAGATACTGATTAATTTAAATCCAAGAAAAATAACCAACTCCCAATTCTACCAATGTGTGTGCCAAGACCCGGTGTCACAAGTGTATGAGCATCTAGTAGATTATTCAAAACTCCAAATAATGTCTGAAATAAAATAGACAGAATACAAATATAAGAAGAGGCACTGGTAGCTGCAGAACGGCTCAGAAAAGCAGCTCACCACTAAGCCTAAGGATAACATGAGTATGCAATGATAGGTCCTCCACTAGTGCCTGTCTCAGATCCTTCACAAAAAGTGCAGCAAGTGTAGCATGAGTACGTAAACAACGTTTACCTAATAAGTATCAAGCCTAATCTCGAAGAGGTAGAGACGAGAGGTCGACATTGACACTCACTAAGGGTCAATAGTAATAATTGAAATAACAAAATAGAATATTTAAATCAACATGATTCACAGAATTTACAATAATTAATCTAACCAACATAGTTAATTAAATCCTTCAAATACAATAATTTCCCATCTATTAATTAAATTCACAAGCGGCAATTAAAACATCAAGGTATCGTGTAATTATTATTATTATTAGGCACGATTTTTGCCGAGTTCGTACGGCCCGTTCCAGAGTGTCGTGTACACTGCCGAGGGATGTGCGGCGTGATCCATAGATGCATCTATCTTGCCGAGGCGTTCGGCCCGCTCCACAAGTAAGGAGGACATTTTCTTATGTACCTCCGAAATGAGAGTATATTTGTTATAAGATTAATTCGAGAGTATGAACAATTTTTTTTAACACTTAATTAATTAAAACAGAAAATTAGGCGTATGAGATTTCCATCTTTTACTATCTTTTCCTAACAATTTATAATATATATATCAAATAATTTAACTAAATAAAGGATACAATTTACACAAGTAATTCATGATTTGAGTCCTAAACTACCTGGACTTTATCATTAATAGTAGCTACGCACGAACTCTCGTCACCTCGTGCATACGTAGCCCCCACAATTAACAATAATTTTTAATTTAATTACTTATGGGATAATTTCCCCCTCACAAGATTAGACAAGAGACTTACCTCAACTTGCTCCAATTTAATCTACTAGTAGGCCTTTTCCTCGATTATCCAACCGTGTATGGCTTGAATCTAGCCAAAATAATTCATACAATCACTAAAAATTATAGGAATCAATTTCATAAGAAAATACTGCATTTTTCAATAAAAATCCGAAATTAACTCAAAAATCGTCTGTAGGGCCCAACGTCTCGGAATCTGGTGAAAGTTACGAAATATGAACGCTCACTCAACCACGAGTCTACACATACCAAAATTACTAAATTCTGATAACAATTCGGCCCTCAAATCCTCAAATCTATCCAAAGGTTTTTTTAAACGTTTCCAACAATTCACCAATTAAATGATAAAAACAGTGATGGATTAGGGTAATTTAACCAATATTGAGTTAAGAACACTTACCCCGTTGTTTTAACTCAAAATCTCCCAAACATCGTCTCAATCCGAGCTCCAAATCGGTAAAAAATGGAAACTCTGCCTAGTGATTTCTTCTACGCGATCACGAACTTCCTCACGCGATCGCGAAGCACAATTTCAACACTGCCAAGATTAACTATACGCGATCGCGGATAGTCCCATGCGATCGCGAAGCAGTGACTCCGCAAAACTACGAGATCGCGAACCTTCTCACGCGATCGCAAAGCATTAAGCGCGCGTGGCCTAGCTCCTCCCTCCGTTCCTTCGCGAATGCGTCCTTAGTCACGCGTTCGAATAGCACAGCTCGCTCAAACCTACGTGATCGCGGACGTTCCCACGCGATCGTATAGAACAAATTTTCCAGCTTCCAAATTAAGCCTACGCAATCGCAACCCCATTCACGCGATCGCGTAGAACAAAGTCACCTCTGCCCAAATTACTTTACGCGATCGCAGACGAACTTACGCGATCGCGTATAAGGAAATCAGAAGAAAAATACCAGCAGCTATCAGCAATCCCCCAAAGGCTAAAAATGATCCGTTAGCCGTCCGAAACTCACCCGAGCTCCTCGGAACCTCAACCAAATATACCAACAAGTCCTAAAACATCATACGAACTTAGTCGAGCCTTCAAATCATATCCAACAACACTAAAACCACGAATCATACTTCAATTCAAGCTTATTGAAACTTAAAATTTCTAACTTCTACATTCGATGCCAAAACCTATCAAATCAAGTCCGATTGATCTCAAATTTTGCACACAAGTCATAAATGACATAACAGAGCTATAAAAATTTTCGGAACTGGATTTCAACCCCGATATCAAAAAGTCAACTCCCCGGTCAAACTTCCAAACTTAAATTTTTGTTTTAGCCATTTCAAGCCATCTCAAAATGTTGACTGAAGTCAAACTTAGCATTTTAAGGCCAACTTAAGGAACCGAGTGTTTCGATTTCAACTCGAACACTTCTAAATCCCGAGCCAACCATCCCCGCAAGTCATAAATTAATAAAAGCACATATAAAGAGTTTTATTTAGGGGAACGTGGTTCTAAAAGTCAAAATGACCGGTTGGGTCATTACAGCTACTCTCCCCAACCCACCTCCCCAAAATTCTCATGTTTCATGTACTCCTCCCCCCTCCCCCTTCCGGCTCCATTTTCTTCAAGAATTTAATTATTCTTTTCAAAATTCACACAAACCCAAAGGAACTAATGTGCTACTTTACTTTTTCACACAAGAATAATGTTGAAATTTGAACTCGATAACTAAAACGAAAATACTTTATTTGTTAAAAAAGAAAGTATTTTTTCTACAACGTGAAAGAAATTACTCATTTTGTTGAATGAAAGAACATACTTTTTCTACATCATGAAAAGAAAATACACAGTTTGTTGAAATAAAAAAAAATACTTTTTCTACATCATAAAAAGAAAGTACTCGTTTTGTTAAAATAAATTTTTTTTACATCATGAAAAGAAAGTACTCGTTTTGTTGGTAAAAAATAATTTTTCTATTTCAGGAAAAGAAAATACTTAGTGGGCGTTTGGACATAAGAATTATAAAATTCTGGAAAAATGTAAAAAATAATTTCAAGTGAAAATGGTATTTGAATTTTTGTGAGTGATATGAGTTGAAATTTTTAAAAAACAGTTTTTTTTTGAGTTTTTTAAATTTTTGAAATTTTTTAAAATTGTCTTCAAATGAAAATTAAAATTTTTATAGCAAACACTGATTTCAGAAAAAAGTGAAAATATTTTCATGTCCAAACGGGATCTTAGTTTGTTGAAATGAAATAAAATACTTTTTCTATATCATGAAAAAAGTACTCGTTTTGTTGAAATAAAAAAAATATTTTTTATACATCATGAAAGGAAAGTACTCGTTAGTTGAATTTTTTTTTCTATTTCAGGAAAAGAAAATACTCATTTTGTTGAAATAAAAGAAAATACCTTTTCTACATTATGAAAAGAAAGTACTCGTTTTGTTGAAATGAAAGAAAATACTTTTTATACATCATGGAAAAAGTACATGTTTTGTTGAAATGTAAGAAAATACTTTGACTAAAACATAAAAAGAATATACTTATTTTGTTAGGAAAAAAGTACTCTATCTACAACGTGAAAAGAATGTACTCTTAATAATAGTTGTATTTAGGGTGGGTGGTGGGCGAGGTTGNGTTTTGAAAATGTTTTCCCTAAAATAAGGGAAAACATTTCCCACCAATTTGAGAAAAATGAGTTCATGAGAAAAATATTTTCCAAAACATTTAAGCCAACCAAACATGAAAAAATTGAAAAATATTTTCCGAAAAATATTGTCCTTCATACCAAACACACCCATATTTACTCCGGAGAATGACTCAAAATTATATTTGAAGAGTATATTTAGTTTCGACATATCATTATTCAAGTGGAATTAGTATTTAAATAATTTTAATATTGATTAACTCAATTTGTCGTTATATTTGAAAATAAGTAGTTTTATAACAATTCTAAAATTTATTTTTAAAAGTTAAAATGATCAATACACATTTCGTATTGGAGAACACGTATATAATCTTAATTTGAAGGGCATATCTTTTAAAAAAATCTTACGAAAATTGTAGTAATATCTGTAACATGATATTGAATATAAAATGGTTGATATATATGTTTTTAGTAATTAAATTTTGGTATTTATTATATATTTTATTATGATTCTTCGAAAGGCCATCAATAAAAATATTTATATTTTTTTAGAGATTTGAAATAAAGAGGTTCGTCATATAATTTTTTGAAGAAACTGGTTCACACGTAAAAAATAATTGAGCACATGTATTTTATATTAATTTGAAGGGCATATCCTTTTGGGTAGTAAACTTCTAAATACCAAGTGGTTACGCCCGATTTGGTTAGTCTTTTTAATTCTTTGCTTTTCTTGCCATTCATATATAATTTAAGTGTAAAAAATTATATAAAATAAAATATTAATATTTTTGAAGTTCTAAATATTAATTTTTTTTAACGTAATCCAAATAAGGAAGAATGTAATATATAAAATTTAGTTGATTTTATAGTCCTAAATATTAGGAAAATAATTAAATGAATATTCCTACATATTAGGAAAATAATTAAATGAGTATTCCTATATATTAGGAAAATAACTAAATTATTATTTTATCCAATGTAAACTCTATTTTTAAAGAGTAAAAAAACGCGAACGATATTTGGCTTTTGCTTTTAATATAATATAGATAGATATAAAATTATAAATATAGTGCATTCATGCACTAGTCGAATTTTCTACTTTTTCTTTGTCATCATAAGTAGCTTTTCATTCACGTTTTGTCGCATTTTCCTAAATGTATATTAACTCAAATTTTTAATTCTTCTTTATTTTAGCATTTACCACAGCTGGGAGTCTGGGAATCATGCCCTTCAAAGATTGATGGTTTTGGCTTACGTGTGGAAAGGCATCTGACTGGATAACTGAGTTCTCGAATAATATCCTCTGTCCTGAGCTTCTGTTTCCAGCGCAAGTATGTGTATTTATCTGCATTAGCAATTTAGCATATGTATATATTTATATAGATAGTGGCAAAGAGTTATCTGTTTATATGTACATACTCGAGGTTGGTGGTCTAAGAGAAGAATACAGCTGCACAAACAATAGCAGGCAGAAAAAACATAGCTATGACTCTGTATTGAAATAGCAGCATGTGTAAAAACTCGCAACAAACACCTGCATTCTTGTCAATGACCCTCTTCTAAACTTCTTCACTGCAACAGCTAGTCCCAACGATGCTGCGCTTGCAAAGGGGACAGGTTGCACTCATATATAGCCATTTGTCAATACAAGCACAGTGAAAATGGTGACCACAGGGAAGTTCTCGGAGTTCTTCTCCATCATCATAAGTAGAGAGACATATGGAACATGCCTATTAACAATATATGGACATACTATGAGCACGTTTCATGAAACAGATAACACACTAGAGTAAAACAAGGTAAAATGATAGAAAAGCAAGGTTACGTACAGCATCATCTGTGGAAAGTGAGTGCTCCTTGGGTGTATCTGTCCCGCACTGGGTCATGAATCCAGCAAATGTCCCTTGGATCTCACCAGTCCGATTCTCATTAACGCCATTGTGTCGGAAAATGTACTTTGACAGTTGTTCAATATCTTCTTTGTTAGCTCCTTTCTGTAGAAAGTATTGAAAGAATTATATAGCAAAAACATGATAAACATCACGCACAAACATCACTGAAGTTTTAGTATGTAAATTGGAAATTTCTTATTCCACAATTAACATATGCCTTGAAGAGAATCTCAATAAGAGAACCCTGAGCTGATTTTAAACGTTTACAATACCTACTACATTGGAACAATGGGGTACATATAGTTTTTCTTGCAAAATCATGTTCTTGGAATAGAAGTAGAATGATCTTGTTCCAAAATTCAATATCAACTCATTTACCCAATATATTGCCGCTATTGACACCAAGAATGAAGACCAGCACTTAATTGATATTACCAATTACCTTGGTTAACAAAAAATTCATGCCGTTTTCTCGTGGAAAGAGCACCCAAGCATCCTTCTTTCAGAGAAGGGAAAGCATATATCTTCAGGGAAATGAAAGTATGTATCGGCCACTACCTCTATACTCCTAAAGAAAATATTACATTCTGTAATTTTGCTGTCCACCAAGGTAGCTTAATAGTTTAAACACAGAAATCAGCTGAATTAAGAACTTGAGCAGCTCAACTCAACTTAACGAAGCCTCATCTCAAATATCAATAGCAGCAACTACTCAAATCTACATTTCATGATATTAACCCAGTCTATTTACAAAGGTTACTCTCGCAAATCTTACTTTATTGCCAGACTATGTCTTCTGTTTCATCCGTCTAGCTCTTAAATGCATTAAGGGCATAATAAAATGCAATCAATCTATGAACGAACACGAAATTCCATTGATATCCATCTAAGATATCTAGGTGCAAAGGAAGAGCAATTTCACATGAGTTTTCTTGCTATAAAAGTATCATTCATCTTATGATACTTCTATGACAGAGAACTAGCTCCTAATATAGATTCCCCGAGAAAGACAAAGTTCCTTATGAAAAAAGGATACGTAAATAAAGTTAAAGAAACTAGAAAAATCATGAGAGAATTACCTGATCAGCTACAGCATATAGAACAGCAATAATACATGGAAGGCAACAGCAGATTCCGAGACCAACAGCACAAGCCAACGTAATTAAGAAGACCACAAAGAATACATCAAAAGCCAAGAAAACAATGCAAAGCCTGCATTCAGATAAAGTTACCAAATGATGACAGCTTTAATTTGAAAAATAAACTAAAAATAAAGGTCATACATTTTGCTCAAATGAAGAAAGTTTTCCACCCGTACCAGTATAATTGAGGGGATTCTTGTACCATCCGCTGCCCACCAATACATACCCAATAAAATCCAATGATCCACCAGAGGAATGATAACATTGTATTTGCAGAATCCATATACTTCGCCATGTTACTGTAAAATCTTTCGAACAAAAACATGTAACACACACCAGCATAGCATATTTAAGAGCCATTGCACTGTCTCTGCTTAAGTGAAAAATAATCCTACCATCTATGAGGGAACAAAAGGGAAATGGAAAAAAAAAAGAAGCAACACTGCATTGTACAGAAATTGACTTTAGCTTCCAACTGTAACAGAACTAATTCTACTTAAATATCATGCTTAGTTCACCAGCTAGGATTTCAACTCGTAACCTGCGTCCGCCTCATACATCATGCGCTGTACTACCTTCGCCATTGAACCAAAGTCCAAGGACAATTCATATATAAATCCCACAGGTAATAACATAATTTACCTATCATTTACGAATTAAACTGAAATTTAGAATACTTCTTCTGTCCCAAACTATTGACACACATTCCTTTTTAGCCCGTCCAAAATAAAATTAACATCTTTTTATAATTATTTAACGTTAAACAGTTCAAAATTGTCCTACAGGGATGTCTATCATGTTTTAGACCACAACTTTCAAAAGTGTACCGTTCTTTCTTAAACTTCGGGCTCAGTCAAATATCTTCGCCCACAAATTGATACAGAGGGAGTATTTGGTATTCCATACAGTACAAAGATATTTAAGAAAATCAAGTAGAAGTTCCAAATTCTTTGAGAATATACCTTGATCTTTCGGGGGTTAATTCAGCCAAAGTAACATAACCACTAGACCCCCTCGAACCCTCAGCAGAGCTCCCAAATGCCTCCTCCGCCGATTGACCATATCCTCTTCTCCGATACTCCAAAAAAACACAAACAATATGAAGCAGGCAAAGCAAAGAGTAGCCAACAATCCAAATCCTCAAAGGCATTTCTGGGTCTTCTTCTCTACTGAAGAATAAGACAAAACACGCAACAATGATGTATGCAAAGTTCCATAGGAGGTCAATAATCACAACGGGCTTAGAGTAAGCCCAATTACTTTGCCTATCATTGATTTGCTGATCAGACGGTTCACGCATCATTAACCCACTTCTGTTGCTGGCTCTTTGGAATACCCGAATTGCCTCTCGAAGGCTATGCCGACGAGGTGATCGCAGGTGAAAGGATTCATCGCTTTCGTTGGATCTTAGTAATGGTGAATTTGATGAACTGGGTGAAAACATTTTCTTTTGATCAATAATTGGAGTATTGTAAATACAATTATGTGTTATTTTAAAGATATTTGTTGAATGAATGATTGGATAAGTGGGGATTGGGGGTGAGGGTAGTAAGTAGAAGAAGACTAGTTCGGTATTGGTTGCGGTTTAACAAGATGCCGCGGTTTAGTATATGGTTTGTGCCAAATGGGACAATCAGATAAAAGAGCAGTATTTGGATTTTGGATACTACAAGATAAAATAAGTAGAAAATTTTCTTTTTCTCCTTATTGTATTCTTACATCTGATATTGATGGGTTTGGACATAAACTTCATTTAGAAAAAAATTTGTGGAAATCATTTGCATCCTTCAAGTTTGCTTTAAAATTTAAAGGTTTCTTTCAACTTTAAACAAATATCATTCTACTCCTCACACCAAATGTGACTTCTTCAAATGCCTATTTTATCCTCTACAATATTTATCTCTTATTTTTATTCTTTAATATAATGATATTTTTTATTTTAATTTATGTTATCGACTTACCTATAGACAAATAAAAGAAACTTTTCCGAAACTAAAAAAAGTGAGTAGTAGTCAAGAGAGTAAAAATTTTATTAATACAATCAAACTCACTATATTTACAAAATTGAGAATAAAAGAGAGTGAAAATTTTATAAGTTATACAATCCAGGTAATAAAAAATAATGGGTGAAAAATAGAAGTAAAATTTAAAACAAATTTGCAGAAATTATCTATTTACACTTTACATGAACTTTAATTATAATTTTTAAAAAATCTACTAATATCAATTAAAACTCAAAAATTTATATATACGTGAAGAATAATAAAAATAGTAGAACTTAAAATCACACACACATCGACATATATTATATGCATTTTAATAAATAATAATAAAATAATAATAATAATAATAATAATAATAATAATAATAATAATAATAATAATAATAATAATCAAGTAGCAATATATTTTCTAATAAACTCACACTTTAATATTATTTTATTTATAATATTAGTGAACTTAGATTAAATTATATAATAAGTTATAATATTATTTAAATTATGATATCTGCATTAAAAATATCTAGATAATATAAAAAGGTATTACGTATATGAGGAGTTGAAAATAAAAGGGCAAAATAGACATTGCGTAGGATGAAATGATGAAAATGACAATTGTTCAAAGTTGGAGGATGAGTTTGATTTTTAGGGTAAACTTGGGGGATGTAAATGATTTTCACCCAGAAAAAAATTATGAAAATTAAGGATTTAGCGAGTGAAAATGATTATTTAATTGGAATAATTTCAAACTAGTATTTTTATATTTTAATATTATTTCAAATATTGAAGTTCAATTTGTGCATATATTAATGATCAAATTATTGAATTTCAATAATTGTAGATCTAACACAATATTTGATGCCCCAAGGGGAGGCATACTCATCCTTTTCATGCATCCAAGGAGAACAAAGATGTATAAGACAGATTGGCTGAAAAATATGAAGAGCATTGTCATTGAATATGTAACTAAATATTTAGCGTGACAACTGGTAAAAGGTTTGAGCATAAAGATTAGTCGGAATCATTATATCCAGTTTAGATATCACAATGAAAATGGCACGAGATAAGGTTTGAGAATTAGAGTTTGAAAGAATAGAGAGGATGGAATTATTAGTCGAAACTGATTCTTACAAAATGCAATGCCTCCTCTGAATTTGTTACACAGTATTTAACTTCCACTAATTGTAACTATCTTCTTAACCACTTCTCAGCTACCTAACGACCTAGTGGGCAAAGACTAAAGTGCCCCTATTTTAACTATGTAAATATCTAAGATGCCACTATTATATCTTTACTATAATATGCCTATAACAAATTTCCCCCTGCTGAAAAGTCCTTGACCTCAAGGAATAAATTGAGGGAACTGCTGCTAAAGCACATGAAGGTCTAACCAAGTACTGTATTCTGGAGAGCAGTTGAACCATTTCACAAGAGCTTGAGTGTCTGGTCGTCCATGTTTCGAAATGACCCTTTCTTCTAGGACTACTTCAGGTTCTAGCACAATGTAGCCATGAGTGGATAAAGTAACTGGCAAGTCTGTGATAGTAGGAGTTGTGCCCATATGCTTCTTTAATTGGGATACATGGAAGGTATGATGAATTTTGGCATTGGGAGGAAGAGCCAGGTGATAGGCCACTTGTCCAATCTTCTTCATGATTCTAAAAGGTCCAAAGTACTTGGGATTCAGCTTATGATAGGAGTGCCCCTTCATGGACATCTGCCTATAAGGTTGCAACTTTACTAAGACCACGTCTCCTTCCTCGAAGCTTTTTGGAGTTCTCTTCTGATCAGCTTGCGCTTTCATCCGACATTGAGCCAATTGGAAGTGGGGTTTTAGTAGTCTCACAGTTGCTTCCCTAGCCTGCAAACTCCGGTCCACATGTTCGACCATGAAACTATGAGCTATATAAGGTAAATGCAACGGTGGTTTTTGGCCATAAAGCACCTCAAATGGGGTCATCTTGATAGCAGTGTGGTAATTGGTGTTATACCACCACTCAGCAATTGGCGGCCAGGTTGCTCACTCTTTGGGCCTATCATTGCACATGCATCGCAAGTAACCTTCAATACATTTGTTGACAATCTCTGTTTGTCCATCAGATTGAGGGTGATAGGCAGTAGAATGGTATAATTGAACTGCTTGAACATCAAATAAGACTTGCCAAAGTTTGCTAATGAAGATAACATCTCTGTCACTCACTATTATTTATGGCAAACCATGAAGTCTGTAAATGTTACCCAAGAAAGCCCGAGCCACTGTGGAGGCAGTGTAGGGGTGCACTAGCCCAATGAAGTGAGCATACTTTCTCAATCGATCGACTACTACCAGGATCATAGACTTGTTGTGAGTTTTGGGAAGGCCTTCAATGAAATCCAAACTGATGTCTTGCCATAATTTATCAGGAATGGGAAGAGGTTGAAGCAACCTAGGGGATATGATGTTTTCTCCCTTACACTTCTGACATATCTCACAGTTTTTGACAAATTTGTGAACATTTTGCTTCATGTTACTCCAGTAATACAATTGGCTAACTCTAAATAAGATGGCAGCCATGCTAGAGTGGCCTCCCATAGAAGAACCATGCAGGAACTGTAAGATCTCTTCTCTCAGGGAAGAGTCTGTGCCTACCACAATCTTACCCCTCCTATATAAAACTCCATCTTGTAGCATGTATGTAGGATTTGAAAGGTGGTATGTTTGTAGTTGAGTCAACACTTTTTGTAGTTGAGGATCTCCTATGTAAGAATTCTTTACTTTCAAAAGAAAAGTAGAAGTAACAGTAGAAATAGTATGCAACTCGATATCAACTGTAGGGAACCTAGACAGTGCATCAGCCACCAAGTTTTCCTTCCCTTTCTTATAAACAATGGTGTAGTCATACCCCATAAGTTTGGCTAGCCACTTCTGTTGACTAGGTGTAGAGATCCTCTGCTCCAGTAGATATTTAAGGCTATGATGGTCTGTTTTAATCATGAAATGTCTGCCTATCAGATGGGGTCTCCATTTATCAATTGCAGCCACAATGGCCATCATCTCTTTCTCATATACTGACAGTTGTTGGTGTCTAGCATTCAAAGCCTTGCTCATGTATGCCAGTGGATGATCAGCTTGCATCAACACAGCTCCAGTTCTCACTCCACATGCATCAACTTCAATGATAAATTCTAAGGAAAGGTTTGGTAAAGCCAGGACAGGTGTGGAACTCATGGCTTATTTCAAGCAGTCAAATGCTCGAGTTGTTGTTTCAGATCATGCAAACTTGTCCTTCTTCAATAGCTCAGTCAGAGGTCTAGCAATGATCCCATATCTGTCACGACTCAAAATCTCACTTGTCGTGATGACGCCTATCTCAATGCTAGACAAGCCGAAAATCTCAATAAACCACCATATCTTTTTTAAATTTGGAAATAAAATAATTAAATTCAACGGAAGAAATATGATAATTTCAAATATCACACTCCCAAAACCCGGTGTCATTGAGTACATGAGCATCTAAATGAATACAAAGTCTGACTGATAAACATCACTATCTGAAATGTAGAACAATACAATAACTAAACAGGAAGGGAATCAAGTCTGCGGTCGTCAAGCAGCTACCTTGATAATCTCTAACAAAAATAACTCTAAATTCTAGCAGTCGTCGTATCCAGGAGCATCTGGATCTGCACACGAGGTGCAGAGTATAGTATGAGTACAACTAACTCAATAAGTAACAAGTCTAACCTCTGGGCTGAAAGAAATGATGAGTTTCGCAGGTACAGTCCTGTAAAAATAATGGTACAGAAATGTAGGCATGCTTTCTAGTTCAACAGTTAAACTCGGTACAAGTGAAATAGATCAATACTGCATGATATGAATAATATGACATCTTAGTAGAAAAATCTCATGTAAATACTGGTCATAATTTTATCCGGTCATTCAGTATTGTTTATGGCCAATCCAACCCAGGGGTGTTCCAACTTGTATATAAATACACATCAACTGACAGTCAGTCACCCAGTACCGTATAAGGCCAATCCAGCCCTGGGATAATTTTATCCCCAAATATAACTGATACGGACAAGATTCATGTCCAGGTAATCTCATTACAATACAAATAAGTAAGGTAAGTCCATGCCCTGGGAAACATCCATCCCATATATATATATATATATATATGAGCAGTAAGTAAGGCAAGTTCATGCCCTGGGAAGTCCATCCCGAATATATATGATCATCTACGCTCACTGGGGGTGTGTACAGACTCCAGAGGGGCTCCTTCAGCCCAAGCGTAATACAAAGCCAATAGGGCCTACTGCAGGCGGGCAGTCCCGATCCGTATAATAACAAAGTCTATAAGGCCTGGTGTAGGCGGGCAACCCCGATCCATAAAATAGGAAAGCCTATAAGGCCTGCTGTAGACGGATAACCCCGATCTAGATAATAATGATGTATAAAGCCATTAAGGCCTGCTGCGTTGCGCAACTCAATCCCATAAATATCCTCAGAATGGACAATTATTACTGAGTGTGAAATATATATTTTTGAACAATTAATTCAACAGCAACACACCCCATGGGTCCCAAAATATTGGCACATAGCCTAAACATGAACTTTAATAGGACCCTCAGCTCAA